GGTACCATTACAGACCGTGGAAACTAGTATCTGCCATTGTTAAATATATCAGCTAATAATTAATACTCGATTGCAGACATAAGCAAATAGGCAATGACCTAATTATAGGTATTGGAAACCAGGGTAGATTTTTCAGATGAACTATTTTGAATTATTTTAGTAAGCCGAAGGGATATATGTGAGTTTCACATTTTAGCCCCAAAGGGGTTGCGCTAACAAGCTTTTTTCTGACGACTTAGGATGTTGATATTATAGAACTTGATCTATTCTTTCTCTATATGTGTTTCATCATTTTGAAGTTGGTTACATGAGTGAAAAAAGAATACTTACACAAAAAAGTACCTGCTTTTCTCTATTCGAAATTTTACGTTCGCTTATAACAAAAATTTTTGAAAACCCTATAAAGTTTACTAATATTTACTCTTTGTTCCTCCATTGACTAGTATGCATCGTGCTAGCTGTTGTGGTATGGAATTAATCAGATTTTTACAAGTCGCCGGTATAAACTTTTCCCATATCTGTTCAATCATTTGTTTGACCTCCGTCAAGTTCTTTGGATGTATAGTTCGAAACTGATGGTCGATCATGTCTCACAGATTCCCAATAGGATTGAGATCTGAGGAGGAAGGCGGCCATTCTAGAGAAGCATTTTTCTTTCAAAGAATTTTTAGCAAAACCTGATACATGAGGACGGACACTGTCTTGCATGCACCAAAAACTACCAGGATTTGTGCTAAATTTACTGTTTATAAAAGCTAATAGAATATCACCAATAAGTTGTACATAGCTACGAGCATTCCCTCGACCATCATAAAAGACTAATGGACGAGCACCGGTACTTGTCATGCATCCCCAGACACTGATACTACCATCCCCTTTCTTCGATCTTGGAAGGAATGAGAATGACAAATCACGCTCATTAGGTTTTCTTCTAACAAAAGTCCGATTTTTTCTGTTGAATAGTTTGAAGTGAGACTCGTCAGTCCAAATAACTTTACTCCAATCGTCGGATAACCACTTTGCATGGCTTTTTGCAAAGGATAAGCACTTTTGTTTTTCAACAGCAGTACGAATAGGCTTAGCTTTGGCAGTATAGTTTTTGTATCCAGACTCTAAAAGTTGACAGCGAACTGTAGAATTCGATACTATTTTACCATTTGACAGGAGTCTCTCTGTTGATGGTTGGTGACTAGTTTTTACTTGGTCTTGCTTGCGCAGCTGCAACAAATAACAATCATCATTGGGTGTTGTAGTACTCTTTCGTCCTTAACTAGATGTATTTTTCAGTCGTAAATTCCGTTTGATTCAGGCAAAATCATTTTTCACACAATGTTGTGCGATTCCAACCTTCTTCGCTACTGTTCGTTGGCTTTAACCATCATTTAATAAAGTTTCAATTTGAATCTTCTGTTCATCGAAAACCTACACCCTCTGCATAATGAACAATACGAAAAACTAAAATCTACAGAAAAAAAGAATCTTCTCACAACGAAATTTCATCTATAGCTTATAATTGCAATAATTTAATGCTTTGATAATGTTTCAAACAAAAGTAATGCTGAAGAAAACACATAAAACAAAATTTCACCTAAACCTATAATTTTGCACAGAGAAAAACATGTACATTTTTGTATAATTATTTTTTCCCGTATTTAACCTAGTTGAAAATAATGAAATATATATTGAGGAAGAATACATCATGTTCTATGATATCAACATCCTACGTCGCCAGAGAAAACATCAGCAAAGACGCAGTATATAATACTATGTCAAAGTTCAGAGTGAACCTATAATTTTCCACAATACTGTGTCTTGATTCGTTTGTCTCACATTATTCACAGGTCATTTCTGCTGTTGTTGCAATCCATTCACAGAAGACCCTTTGAAGTGGGCACCCACAACTACATTGGTCGATCTCGTTCGTAGTATAATTCATGTTATCGATAATCCCAAACTCTGCGGTTCCACAAATTCTGGTTAGTTTTCTAATAGTGCTTTGCTTGTCTTACTTTAATTTATCATTATGTACGTCTTCGAAGAATATGAGTACAATAGGGCCGAATTCAATCGCAAGGCAATCGCGATGACCCGGAATAATGCTTTGCCAAGAACTTGACCATATCTTTTACGCCGCTACAATCAATGAACAAATATTGAACTTACAATCATCATAAATTCGAAAACAGTACTGCTTTCATTATTATCAAATTTTCCAATCACTTTTCACTAGCTTCTTTAAGTGTTGGCGTGCGCGTGGTGGGGCTGCGGATATGCATTAAGGGTGTGAGGTGTGTGGGTNGCAGTGTGGGCGTGGGTGAGTGTAGGCACCGGCGTGTGTGGATGTGACTGGGGTGCGTGTTTGTGTGGTTGCGGGTCGATGAGTTTTTCACACTAAACGCACAACCGCACCCACACCCACACCCTGTTGAAGAGTCATATGGTTCATGGACCGTGTGGAGTACTAAACAAAGATTCCCTTTGTCTGGAAGACGGAAAGTGCACCAAGGAATTTCCAAAAGAGTTTCGGAATGAGACAGCTCCAAATAGGGATGGCTATCCACGATATCGAAGGCGAGATAATGGAGTCATTGCCAAGGTGGNAGATAATGGAGTCATTGCGGAGGTACGAAATTATGAGGTTGACAATCGATGGGTAGTTCCGTATAACCCACACTTGCTCATGAAATATGACGCTCATATTAATGTGGAAGTCTGTGCAACCGTGAAAAGTATTAAGTATCTATTCAGATATGTTTACAAGGGACGCGATTGCGCCAATATTAAACTGTAACTACCTGTTAAAGACGGTGCAACTTTTGCCAAAACTCTGGAATGGGATGAAATTAAAGTCCATCTCGATGCTAGATATGTCAGTGCACCAGAAGCTGTATGGAGACTCTTTGAATTTCCACTACATGACAAGTCTCATTCTATTATCTGATTAGCTATTCATCTTCCCAATATGCAACCCTTCTATTTTGCAGAAGGAAATGAATTAGAAGCGTTGAATTGAGCAACTGAGAAGGATACAACCCTCATTGCATGGTTCAAATAAAATCGTGACAACTTAGATGCCAGAAGA